GCTGAAAGTGCAATGGAGAACGGGGGGAGTGTGCCCCAGTCCATAAACATATTTCTCCTAATTTTTTCCTATTGCTTCTATATTAATTTTTTTTGTATCAACATTTTTCTTAAGTTCTTGGCAAGAGCCACCACTTGGCGATTGTTGAAATGGAACTACAAAGAAGTTGCAGTCTCAAGTGGAGCATGGAAATGACTTAATGAAAAACCACTTGACCAATATCAATCAGCCAAATGTGCACTTGGCGTTGAATTTTCCTTCTAAAATTCCCCATCTCAATTTGGCTTACTAATTGACAACATAACCAAGACAAAAGTCAGAAAATTACTTGGAATTGCGCTTCGGACGGGTCAAAATCAAAAATATCGATGCAACCGACAAATTGAGCTGCCCTGCTTGCGTCTCTATGATTAGTTTAAATTACGAATTTGAAATTTATTTTCTTTTCGCTATCTCATTATTTGCCAGGTCTGTTTCGGTCCCTGGCAAACTGGTTCTATGACGCACGTGCTCCGGAGACAATAAACGTTTTTGTTTTCGTGGTTATGGCTGGGAAGGGGGCGTTCAGACATTCATAAGATACATTTTGACGTCGTATCTTATGTCATTTTATAGCTCATGCCTTGCTGCACATTTAATCTCGTAGATTCCCTCCGTTCCCCCCAACTCTGCGACGTTGCCAGGTGTTTCTGCATATTTGCGGCTGTGAGAAGTCACGTCAAAGGTAATTTTGATTGCCAGTCAGTCAGTCAGCATCTGCCAACAAGTTGCTCAAATCTTCTACCCGACACTCGTAAAATATCTCAACTTGTCCCTCGTTCCTGGAGCTGCTTTTTGTCTTTTATACTTCTTTAACTTGTCTCAAAATGCGCCTTGCATAGTAATCAGTTGGGAATCTTTGGTAAGAGAAGAGTCAGGGAGTCAGGAGTGTTTATAATAGATAGTTTTCGAGCAATATTATGTATAACTATACATTGATGATAATCGGAGGGTTTTATAAATATATGTTAAGAAAGTCATTGAATGAAATTACCGTAATTTTCTAAAACATTACATTTGCCTTCATAATTTGCCTAGGTCATTCGAAATTTGATTTGATATTAGTTTCGAAATACATCAAAACCTATTAAAATTATCGGTCTTTTCCTTATATTGGCAAAAAAGAAGTTTTGGAGCATATATATAAAGTGTCTAAGTTAGAATAATTTTAATCTATCTGCATTAAACTCAAATTTGTTTGTTTAAATGTTGAATACACCACTAGTTTTTATTCCTCAGTGCAAATTGTTGATAGAATGAAAAATTCATTGCAAGGCTATTGTCTAGCTTCTGAGCCCCTTGACCACTAACTCAAATGGGATTCTCTATAATCCTCTGCAAGGCATCTTTATCGCCTCCTCGGCACACAACCAATTTCTCCCAACTCTGACTTATAGGGCATTCCTGGCACATTGAAGTTTCCAGATCTAATTAGCTTAAAATTCCTGAAGCGGAATTCATCTTTCAGATGCGTAGGCTGCAGGCATAAGGACTTTGGAGCTGCAGCCGAAGGATACACCCGCACCACATAAATGTGTGTAAACATATATAAGGATACTTCCATGGCCGATTGCTCATATAAATAGGCAATAAATGCGAATTTGCCAGCAAGTTAGCTTATCGGCTGCATTTCCCAGCAATCAAAAGTTTGAAGCTCGATTGTTTCGAGTTCGCTTTGTTTCGGGGCACATGTAAATATATGCAGATACGACTCACAGATACGAGTGTATCTGTTTGAGGTGCCCCCTGCCACATCCGAATCAATTGATTACGTATTCCGCATTGTTGTGTATTTGTCGCGACAGAATTTCATTTCGTTCTTATGGGACGCTCAGTCGATGTCGATCAAGCGACCCATTGAACCCCTCGCACCCCCCTGTTCCCTCCTGTGCCCCACCCCTGACTGCCGCCATTGAACTGTAACGCATTCAGCATTTGTTGCTCTCGTGCATTGTCTATGCAAAATTGTGGCTGCTGCTCATTCTGTGGTGTTCGTTGAACTCGCTCGTTGTTCAACTTTTTGGTCACTTGTCGCCCGGCATTCGATGTTTGATTTGCCGAATGGAGTAGGGGTTTGCCAGGCGGTTAAGGGGCGGAACTGGGCCCCGTTGGGCCAATAGTCAAATGGCTAAGAATTAGCTGCAACCGAATTAAGTGAGGAAGTTATAGAAGAATAACTATACACAGAGCAAAAAGACAGTCAATCTTATGGTCCATTTTTTTGTTTTTCTTAATTTTTGTATAAAGTTTGGGATAAGATATACTTAAATATAAATCCCTACAATTTAAATTGATTTTCTTAATATAATGAAATTTTGAACGCTGAACCTGTTATTTTGCTAAGCTCACAGCTATACGAAGGTTATCGCTAATCATTTTATGTCACTTTTCAGCATTTGTTATGCCATTGGATAATCCCTGAATATTCAACCACAGTAACTGCTCAAATTCCGTATTCCCATTTCTCGTTTCACTCATAAATCCCCTATTTGCATTCAACTCTGTGGCAGCCTCTGGAAGCTTCAAGAACCCAGACATTACCTCAGCGTTTGGGGAATTGCAGCTTGTGACTGCTGACAGAGGGTTCTTCTCCTTGCTTGTAACTCCCTTACTCCAGAAAAAGGCCACCATCCCCGTCCCCATCCCCATGTTAACCCATCAATTGTCTGCCGTCTAACTCGGCACATGACTTGCATATCTATGCGATATTTGCGAAATGAGTTGTTGACTTCGGCTTGGCGTCCGACTTTGACTGTGACCAAACAAAGCCAAAGTAAAAGCTTTGATAAATAAGCAGCCAAAAGGGAATCCACTAGCAGAGACGAACAAAAAAAAATAAAGAACAAGCGATGGAGAAAAAACTATAAATAAAAAAGTGCATGTATTTCAAAGCCATTCGATGCAGGCGAGTGTCGAACGGAAAATAATAATTTTATGGCGAGATCTTGTGACTTTGGGCGGTACCCAGAAAGGGGGTGTTAGTCAAAATGGCTGTCAGTCAAAAGTGAAGTGTAACAGCTGGATGGATGTGTGTGAGTATTACATAAGGTTGTGCAACTCAGAATTTGCGGCAAGGCATTATAAATGTATTTTCTCTGCCCCTCTCTTAACGTGTGCAAATGCGTTAACATAAATGTAACACGTTTCGCTGTGGTAACAACAACTGTAACAGCAACTATCCACATGTCACGTAGCTTTCGCATGCCAACGACAGAGCCGGGAACCCAAAAGACCCCAAAAGTCGTGTGACCCTAGGCAATCCAAGAAATTGTCACATCTCAAGGACCAGACAGGAAACCAGTGGCGAGAGAAAGAGGACAAGAGCAGAATCTGTCTGAAGATACATTCCTCTTTGGACTTTACAAAATATTCTAAATTATATACAACCATATGGTATTGTCTAAAAATACACACCTTAAACCACTTCAAATTGATTAAATTTCCACTTGCTAGTTGATTAAACTTTTGGCGATGTTGTGCTAATTACTGAGCCACGAATTTGTTGTGGAAATTATGCAATATATAAACGAACTTGAACTCAGGAAAGAAGAAAAAACTGAAAGCTATGTATGTTTAAAATTTGTATATTTCAAATATTTCAAAAAAATTATAAATTCTTCTTTTATTGAGAATTTAATTTAGGAAGTTAACTGTGTTTTATATTCCAAACTTGTATGTTTGGCATAGTTTATAAGGCTACGAAATCTAAACTTTTAATTATGTTAATTACACAACATTTGATCTTTTGCTTAACATAATTGGGCTGAGTACCCAGAACCGAAAAAAACTCAACCAATCCTGGAAGACTCACTAGCAGAATCCACCCATGGCTTTCTCTTTACCACCCATCCCCCACATCCATCAATTTTTCTATCCGCTCTTGTACGGGAGTTCAAAAGTCCCTTGACAAAGCTAAAATTTAATTAGCCGCCCAGCAAGTGGCGTTTGCAAATGAAATTACACAAGCACATTCACACACAGGCACGCACACAAAGGGAGCGAGATGCCAGCCACATATACTCCTCAATCCCCCCATTCACCCACACACACACACACATTGGTTTAACATTTAGCCACTTGGCGCGAAAAGGAAATAAAATACACGACAATCCAACAAAAGAGCAGGGAAAAAAACACGAAACTTGCATCGAAACATGAAACACTCGCCCCTTTTCACCGCCTTGTTTTCTGCGGAAAATTGCTATGCTGGCGCCCCCTAGCGGGCAGTCCGCCCACCCGCTTGGCTTTGTAATCCTCGCGAGCTTCACAATAAACACGAAAATATAATTTGCAACGTTTTTGCAGGCGACGCGCTTCCGCTGCTAAAGCGCAGAAATGCAATGAGTTTTAGACAATAGAGGCCACAGTGAACGCTCATTTAGGACGACACGTTGGAGGGAGACTTGTTGTAATTAATTATTTCCCTATAAAAAGGTGTATTATTTAATGTAGCCGTTTTATAAATAAATTCAATGCCTCTGCCAACTTCGTGAATTATTTATCTTTTTCAATTGACTTGTTTAATGGGCAACGTTGTCGGATGGGATTGATTAAAATGTCATCGAACAAAATCTATTCTCTTAATCTTAATAAATCAATTAATTCCATTTTTTTTGACAGCAGCATTACTTTTCTTAAGCACTCAGATTATTTCCTTTAAATATATACCTTTTATAAAAAACTTCATAGATCAAGCTGCCAGTTATTAAAACAAAACTATAAGGAATTTAAAAATAAAGTAATATTTGCTACAAAACAGAGTATTGTGAATTAATTTATTAAACATTTTTAAATTCATTTTGATCTGCTCAAAAGAAAAATTTGACTAAAAGACACCAATAAGGTTAATGTTTGCCTATAAAACTATCTTATTATTAGTGGATAGTTCATAAGGAGACCCCACTGTGGTCGGACCGACTGGACTTAACTGGACGGTGGTCCGAGCAAGTAACACTAATTACCTGGAACTAAATATGGCGCCGGATTCGGTGGCGGCAGCCAATACGTTGCCGTTATCGCCGGATACAACTGATGGCCATTTGTGGCCATGTTTGTGGACATGGCTGACGCGTGGAGGGGGTGGTTGGGGTGGCTTGAATGGTGCATCGGTGGGGGCGAGTGCTGCTGATGATGCGGCGGCGATGAGTCCACGGAGGAGCTGCCCGGGCTCATTTTGTTGTAGCGGACGATCAAGTTGTTACTGTTGTTGACGCAAACGGGCGGTGGAGATGCTGCATGGGCTTTGGCCGATAGGAGGCGCTGTTCGCTAACGCTACCATTTCCACTTCCGTTTCCGTTGATATTGCCGCCATTGCTGCTGTTGTTGTTGTTGTTGTTTAGGGAACTGCTACATTCCATGATATTTGGGTTTTTCATGTTATTTATTAACCGCTAGATGGCGCCACCGCACACACGAAAAAAATGGGGTCGAAGGGCTTAAAAACTTTTGTCTAGCTAAAACTTTGCTTTGCTTTTTTATGGGCCTCCTGGGCTAAATTAAAAACGATAGGCAATATTTTATTTGTATTTATTTTAGCTAGGACTGCCATTAAAATGCCACAATTATTCACTTGTGCATAATTTGAATTTTATTTGCCTCACACACACGCGTTTCACTCTTTTTTAGCACAGCTCTTTATGGTCTACCATTTTTGTATAACTAATTAATTTGCCATATTGTCCGGCGAGTGCAGTTTGCCTTTTGCAATAACGTAGTATTTTTTACTGTCGTTCTGTGTTATTTACATTCAATTTGTTGCACATCCCCATCAACGCACCGAGCGCTAATGGGACGGACATGACCCGCCCGTACGGGTTGTCCATACAGATGGACCATATTTGTTTTTATTGTTACGATTATTATGGCGATCACATTGCGCAGTTGTTTGATTTTGCATTTAATGTCCGTTAAGAAGCCCCGTAAGCGATATTAAAATCATTGAAAAATCCAAAGCAAATAAACAAAAAAATTGTAACCCATCCAACTTTCGCTTAAACAATTTTTATTGCCGTTCATTTAGCAATTTGTGTGGTATTACAATGGAAAATATCACTATAATATATTGGGAGACTTAATGCGCTTCCTAAAAACATTGAAAAATTTTCGTTTTTTCCTAAAATATGGGAAGTTAAGCCTTATACTTTGCCAGTACATTTAAATCTCTTCGGAATTTTTCCCTGTGTGAAAATATGCACAAGTGTCGCAACTTAGCACCAGGCCACTCCCATCCGCTGGGCTTTCTACCTTTCTGTATATGTATATAACACCTGTATGAAGCTCTAATCAGCTTGAGCAGAGTTTTAAAGAGACGAATGTCTGTGTTTATACAATAAATGAGAAGGAAGGTAAATAAGTAACTTGAGACCCAAGTGGGGAGTTTCGAGCTTGAAAACTAAACAAGCCGACAACTGTTCGGCACCTAAACATATACGAACAATATGATTGTGAAATTTCGAGCTTATTTATCCAGATACAACAACGACAATTGTTTGACTCTGAAACTTCGGTTATTTCCTTGGGAAGTTCCCCCAGAACTTTAAGTATCGAGTAGTTGAGATCGGGTTTGAAATTACATTACAATAAATTGATTCATTTACATTTCTATTTTCATAGAATTACAAATTGTTTTATACGGCTGACTAACAAATGACTTTATGAGTTTAGATTGTTAAACAGAAGACGAAGAAGTTTCATCAAAAGTTAGTTCTATTACAAACAAAGATTTCACGTTGGTTGCACAAAAGTGCAATAATAAAATAGCCAGGAATTCATCAAATCTTACGAGTGAAAATGTGTTAAAATACATAACATAAAAAATAATTTTGTTGAACATTTCTTTTCAGTCTGAAACGCCATTGGTTCGAATTGGTTTTGTGGCTTCAGTTCTTACCCAATTCTATGAAATTTGTATATTTCCTTGGAGTACTCGTATTTTCTAATTTCTTTTTAGTTCTCCCCGCCCGAATTTTTCCCCTCTCCACCTGTCGACTGTCTATTTTCAATTTCTTCTGACCCAGCTGAAATTGACGTTTGCCAGTCTATTGACAGACTGCCTACAGAAGATGATGATGATGATGCTGGGGTGATGCTGAGGATGATGTCGAAGCTGATGGCTTCTTGTTTGTACATGGGCAACATATAGACATAAATATGCGTAAATAGACAAGTTTCCCAGCCTCTCGGCCTCTTCTCTCTTCTTGAAATGTAACTCAGAAGAAAGTGCAAATATTGACGAGAGTTTCCATTTTGCAGGTGGCCCAAAGTGGAACAGTTTTCTGTTGATGGTTGCGACATATGCGAAACCAATTGATTCGTTGTCGAAATGGCTATTACTATATATACACGTGCATCGTTGTGACATTTTCGTAATCATTTTGTTAACGCTTCGCTGGACTCCAGACGAATACAAATTGCGAAGTAATTTTTTTTCTAAGTGAGCTGATTAGTTGGGCCGAAGTTTTGAGTTTTTAAATTTTCTAACCCACTTTTAGTAAAGTTTGTATTATCTTGCTGTGCCATGAGCTTCGAGGTGCAATTTACTTGGCAACAAACTTGCTCACAATTATCACATAAACTTCGCATTTACACTGTGAACTTTGCTTCTGCCACAGCACCTAATGTGGTTTGTTGTTGCTTGATGTTTTTATTGTGGTTATTGTTATTATTGCTGCTAAATGAAAATATTCAGAGCGGAAAGTTACGCTTTTCCATTATAAGCGGGCCATTTGAAGCATGATAAAATCTAATGTGTAGGTTTCTATTCCGAGGAATATCGAAAGTGAATTTGTGGTTCACAAATATGTAAGGCGGAAAAGGTTAGTATAGTATAGCTCAGCATAATAGGCCAAAAAGTTATGTAATTTTTATTAAAAAAGATAAATTGAAGAAAAAGTTAAAAAGGATTATGAAACTTTAAAATATATATTTTTTAACTTGTAAATTTATTTATCCTTTTAAATCTCCTAACAGTTTTACAATTGTTTACCATAATTAAACACAACAGAACTACAGAAAAATTGAGCACATAAAGCACATATCATCTTTTCTACACAGTAAACAAAAAAGACTAAAATAAATATATTTAAATAAATATTACAAAATCCTGGTTCTTATATTCTTTTTAAAGTCGGCTTAATTATATATTCGATTGCCATCAATAAAAAATTTTTCCTTGCTTAAAATTATAGAGTACAATCTTTTTGCTTCCGTTTTTTTCAATATTTTTAAGTTTGTCGAAAAACGAATTTGGTTTTTTGAGGTTTTGACGAGCCGTTGACATTTTGTATTTAATACGGCCTGCACTCAAGTTTTCTTTTCTGTGGCGTTCGCCTCGTGTGAGGCTTTTCAAAAATGAAAACCAAAAGAAAATTTGACAAGTGACAATTTCCGTATGTTGACTTCGTCTTGAGTGATTATTTTCTGAGGGACAGTTTACCCAGTTTATTTTAGTTTCGGAAAGCGTTACGTGGAAGAAAAATTGGATTACAATTAGTGGCATTTCGGGACTTTCGTTACTCGGTTTTTGATCATACGTATTTTATGAGAGGAGATATTTAATTCAGCTTATGGGATGCTGAGTGGAGGTCTAAAGGTTGACCTTGTAGGTGAGAGCGTGTCGCAGCCATGTGATGAAGGGTGCCGAAGGGGCAGAGCTCATCGACAGCCTTCATCCGAGGCTATTTATGGCCCGACACACCCAGCTCCAAGCTCACACACTCGAGTCACTCGACCGGAACGCCAATTGGATCGGAAATCGGTTATTTTGTCTGTTTCATTTTCCAACTAACACTGGCCTTACCCATCCCCTTAGACCATTTTTCCAAAGCCCATCAGCTGGTCTTTATTCAGTGTGAATGCAATTATTTTCCACGCGATTACTGGGGCTATTTCACAGGTAAATAGTGTAAGGCCACAAGTTCACGATATGTACTGGCAGTGGTAAATGGATATGATGGCTATTACCCATGTACAAAATTTTTTAACACGCAGTTAAATTTTTCCAATTCTTTTTTAAGTGCCTGACCTACAAATTATTTATTTCCTTTCCATTTCGTTTAAACCATAAACTTGATGGAGTGTCCACTGTACTTTGAACTGAGTCAGGCAAAGTTCTTATCGTTCACTAATTATGCAAATGCTATGTGCATTTCAAAGTCTGATTTACACACTCAAAAATGCGCTTAATTTGCGTATTTCTTTTCGTTTTTTCAATAGCTGCAAATCGCCGAGTATCTCGATCCGACAGATACCTGGAATTGATCGCACGTCTTGAACTTTAACTTTGACACGCGCGTGCGCGGCAATTGTAATTTCCGTTTGACTCGCTTTTATCCGCTTTTATTCTCTCCGATTACGGCGACACGTCTCCGATTTGAGAGTATCTACTGGATACTCGTAGAGAATTTCAGCGATTTGTTTCTGCTATTTTTCGGCGCTGTGTTTTTTTCGCAGCCGATCCGAAAACGCGACTGATGTCTGGGCGATTGAGTGACAAACTGCTGGCGACGCTTATTTTTTCGCTGCCGTTTTTGCGCTTCGTTCTGCGGTTTATTTTACTTGATTTTTTGTAGTTGTAGTTGTAGTTGTATCTGGTATGTACTTTAGCCATTGTGTACTCAGTTCACGATGAGCCGCATGGCGACGTCAAAGCAAAGGCAACAGCAACAGAAGCAAACGGTTCGAATACAAAAAAATATTATCATTATTGCCGCTGCCTTTCGGTTTTGTGTCAAAATGGCAATAAGAAAATCGAGCTGGGGGAAAACTGTGCTGGGAAAATGGGAATATTATGAAGATTGAATGGTTTTTAAAGTGCACTCTGATGGGATTGAAGAAATAAATGCTTGAATGAAGGTTTTCCTATAGCTCAAAATAGTTTTACTACTGAGTTTAATAAAACATGATAAAAATACCTTAGGGCCAAAATTAAATATATATTTAAATCTGATGGATGGTCTTACAAATTTTAACTTAACGCCGGTTTCAACATTTTTTTTCAAAACTGAACCTCAAATCAATATTTAATAGAATCTCAATCAGACTAAACCCTGTTTTTGAGTGCACTTAATGTACATCTGAATTTTTTTTTATACCCTTGCAGAGGGTATTATAATTTCAGTCAGAAGTTTGCAACGCAGTGAAGGAGACATCTCCGACCCTATAAAGTATATATATTCTTGATCAGCATCACTAGGCGAGTCGATCTAGCCATGTCCGTCTGTCCGTCCGTCTGTCCGTCTGTCCGTCTGTCCGTCTGTCCGTCTGTCCGTCCGTTTATATGCAAACTAGTCTCTCAGTTTTAAAGCTATCTGCATGAAACTTTCCCAAAAGTTGTCTTTCTATTGCAGGTAGTATATAAGTCGGAACGAGCCGGATCGGACGACTATAGCATATAGCTCCCATAGGAACAATCGGAAAAATAAAGGAAAAAAAATTATAACTTTGCTGTTTTTTAATTTTTTGTTTAGTTCTTCGACATTTAGTAATGGTTAAATATTTCCGATTTACGGTTTAAATTTCATCAAAATCGGACGACTATAGCATATAGCTCCCATAGGAACAATCGGAAAAATAAATGAAAAAAAATTATAACTTTTCTGTTTTTTAATGTTTTGTTTAGTTCTTCGACATTTAGTAATGGTTAAATATTTTCGATTTACGGTTTAAATTTCATCAAAGTCGGACGACTATATCATATAGCTCCCATAGGAACAATCGGAGAAATAAATGAAAAACAAGAAAGAAAGCAAACTTCGGCAAGCCGAAGTTCATATACCCTTGCAGCTATTGCATGAATTAAATACTTTTGAAAACATTTAAATTATGATTTACTTCAGTATATACTGAAAAACAGTGAAGCTATGATGATTTGCAGCTCAATTATTAGATAGTTATTTTATATATTTTTATTAGTTCTATGGGAGCTATATGATATAGACGTCCGATTTTGATAAAATTTAAACCATAATTCTGAAATAATTAAACATTGCCATATGTCGAAGAACTAAACAAAAAATTAAAAAACAGAAAAGTTATAATTTTTTTCATTTATTTTTCCGATTGTTCCTATGGGAGCTATATGCTATAGTCGTCCGATTTTGATGAAATTTAAACCGTAAATCGGAAATATTTAACCATTACTAAATGTCGAAGAACTAAACAAAACATTAAAAAACAGAAAAGTTATAATTTTTTTTCATTTATTTTTCCGATTGTTCCTATGGGAGCTATATGCTATAGTCGTCCGATTTTGATGAAATTTAAACCGTAAATCGGAAATATTTAACCATTACTAAATGTCGAAGAATTAAACAAAAAATTAAAAAACAGCAAAGTTATAATTTTTTTTCAATTATTTTTCCGATTGTTCCTATGGGAGCTATATGCTATAGTCGTCCGATTTTGATGAAATTTTTACCATAATTCTGAAATATTTAACCATTGCTTTATGTCGAAGAACAAAACAAAAAATTAAAAAACAGCAAAGTTATAATTTTTTTTCAATTATTTTTCCGATTGTTCCTATGGGAGCTATATGCTATAGTCGTCCGATCCGGCTCGTTCCGACTTATATACTACCTGCAATAGAAAGACAACTTTTGGGAAAGTTTCATGCAGATAGCTTTAAAACTGAGAGACTAGTTTGCATATAAACGGACGGACAGACGGACAGACGGACAGACGGACAGACGGACGGACAGACGGACATGGCTAGATCGACTCGCCTAGTGATGCTGATCAAGAATATATATACTTTATAGGGTCGGAGATGTTTCCTTCACTGCGTTGCAAACTTCTGACTGAAATTATAATACCCTCTGCAAGGGTATAAAAATTATAACTTTTCTGTTTTTTAATTTTTTGTTTAGTTCTTCGACATATGGCAATGTTTAATTATTTCAGAATTATGGTTTAAATTTTATCAAAATCGGACGTCTATATCATATAGCTCCCATAGAACTAATAAAAATATATAAAATAACTATCTAATAATTGAGCTGCAAATCATCATAGCTTCACTGTTTTTCAGTATATACTGAAGTAAATCATAATTTAAATGTTTTCAAAAGTATTTAATTCATGCAATAGCTGCAAGGGTATATGAACTTCGGCTTGCCGAAGTTTGCTTTCTTTCTTGTTTTTATTTATTTTAAACCAAGTCTGCCACAATATCTGCTACACTGAAGCTTATATATAATATTTCCATAAATACTCATATTCCTGGGTCGGAACTTCTACCTGAGATATGCCGCAGCTTGGGCTTATGTTTACTTTAGTTTCGCATTTCAGCAGTCGGCAGTTGTTTAATTTATCAGTTAACAGCTCAAAGCTAAAAGCTTTAGAAGCTAGATCACAATTCAGCATTATAAACAATATTATCAGCTGACTCTTGAAGAGAAATTTTTCGGGCAAATGCAGCTTGAAGAAATTACAGACTATTTTTCCGTGCTTATCGCTGAATGAAATTGAAAATTTAATTAAATTCAAAGGGAAAACAAAACCAAACCATATGCCGCAACCATGTGTTGGAACAAGGGGCGTAGGGGCATTGGAATTATAGAACAATACGCCTCCTAATTACAGACAGAGATACGGATACAGATACAGCCAGTGCTGCAGATACAATGCGAAAACACTTGAAAAGAACAGACGCACAGGCCATTTTCGATAATTGAAAATAATAATTAAAATTCCGTGATTGAAGGGAGAGGGTAAAACGGGAAGGATCGCCCCTGACGTCCACAATTGGAGTGAAAGAATCCCATAAAAGCGGCAACAACTGCAGGGCATACATAATACAATTTGTATCTGTTAGTATGCAAAACATGTCGTCTCGCCCCTTCTCAGCTCCAT